AAAACCCAGTAAAACTCTAGCCTGTAACTCCAAAAGCCTCAATTTCTTGCCTTGTTCCTATCCCTTGACTCCCCCCTCCTCCCTTTCTTTTATCAACAAGCAGCAGGGCAACTACCTGAGTTGTGTGCAATAGTTTATTGCCCTATAAATGTCTGTCCGGAATAGAATATCCTCCTCCTAGAAGCAGTTCCATCCGGCCGCTGGCTAGCTGGCTGGTGCCTCTATTCTTTCCTAAAGCAACAGCTAGAGCAACTGCTCTCCAACATCATTAGTCCTCCAAAGATCAGAAAACAGGAGTCTCTACCCCAAAGCTGGGAGGAAGACTTATTTTTCACTGCATGTCCTTTGTGATATTTAAATGTCTTACCATGTGCCAGATTACCTATAAAAAGAATTCGATATGTATATTTTTTAAAACCACCTCCTCTTACTTGCTTCTGAAAACAGGGCAAAAACACAAAGGCAAACCTTTCATAAAAATGAAAGGGAAATATTAGCTTCTGGAATTACCCTAATAAGAAATACCGCAAGTGATCTTGAATTCATCCTGGGAAAAAATACACTCTTTTCTTTTTTCTTTTTTTCTGAGATTTATTTATGTATTTTTTAGAAAGAAAGATAGAGAGACCAAGCGTGAGTAGGAGGGGCAGAGAGAGAGAAAGAATCTCAAGCAGACTCCCCCACTGAGAGTGGAGCCTGACACAGGGCTCTTATCTCAAAACCCTGAGATCATGACCTAAGCTGAAACCAAGAGTCAGACACTTAACAGACTGTGCCACCCTGGCCCTACAGCTCTTTTCAAAGAGTGACATTAAAATGTCCAAGTCTGAGAGTTTCTTTGAGAATACTGCCCCGCCTGGACTGCTGTGAACATGAGCACTGCAGAGTTCACTCTGTCCAGACCATTGTCACACGACCAGTCCCCAGGCCGGACCTCATGCCTGACTGGCCTTCCTGACTGCCTGACCCCCTCCTTCCTCAGCACAAGAGAGGAAGTGGGTCACACGGCGAGCACATGCTGGCAGTGGGGGGCAGTGCTGGAATAGTTTCTCCTTCCTTCTTCCATTGTACGTTGTTGTGCTTCAGCAATACTCCAAACCAGCTGGTGCATGAACTTGCTGGAGACCTAAGACTGGAACCAGAGGAGAGCTGAAGATGCATTAGTTCCCCCCAGGACCGCAGCACACCCAGAGACACAGAACAGGTGCACATAGGACCCAAAGCTAGAGCCTGGGGAGCCATAACCACTGCCAAGTTCTCTTCCAACACGTTTCCTAACTTCCCAGAGTCGCCCTTCATGTACTTGTCCGAGACCAATTTTTGTCCAGAAACAGAAGACAACTCTTCTGTTTCTATTTCCACACAGTGGTTCACATAACATTCAAGGACAGAACACAACTTTAAGAATCAACCTCCCAGGGCAGCCCGGGTGGCTCAGCGGTTTAGTGCTGCTGCAGCCCAGGGTGTGATCTTGGAGACCCGGGATCGAGTCCCACATCAGGCTCCCTGCATGGAGCCTGCTTCTCCCTCTACCTGTGTCTCTGCTTCTCTCTCTCCTCTCTGTGTACTCTCATGAATAAATAAATAAAATCCTTAAAAAAAAAAAAAGAATCAACCTCCCTCATTAAAGCAAACTTTTTATTTCTTAGGTAAGATTGAAGATTGTCACAGAAGCAGTGTTGTCTGCATCAGGGCTTCTTAACCTCAGCGCTGCTGACATTTTCAGCAGGATAATCCTTGGGTATGGGGACTGCCCTGTGCTCTGCAGGATGTGTAGCGGCTTCTCTGGTCACCACTCACTACATGCCAATAGCACTCTATCCCCTCAGCTTGTGACAACTAAAAAGGGTCTCCCGACATTGCCAGATGTCCCCTATGAGGCAGAGTTGCCTCTTATTAAGAACCACACATCTTGGGACCTGGGTGGCTCAGTGGTTGAGCATCTGCCTTTGGCCCAGGGCCTGATCCCAGAGTCCCAGGATCGAGTCCCACATCAGGCTCCCTGTATGGAGCCTGCTTCTCCCTCTGCCTGTGTCTCTACCTCTCTCTCTCTCTGTGTCTCTCATGAATAAATAAATAAAATATTAAAAAAAGAACTACAGATCTAGAGGAAACTACATTATTGGTTATTATTGGAAAATACCAATATAAAAGAATATTCACACTTACTCTGGCTTTGTAACCAAATATTATGAGAGACTGAGAGAGCCTGAAGCATTGTCCACTCTGGCTTAATGGTTTCACATGATCTGCCACACATGATCTGCCCACCACAGTGGCCAGAGCCCAGAAAAGCATGCAGGGTGACAGCTGGAATATGTGTTCCTTCAGCCTGGTGTCCTGTGCCTGGAGTTGATGGAGAAGCCACCGTGAGCCTCCTTCACAGCCCAGCCCTTTTGCCCAGTGGCTCTTAGCTTCTGTCTCTATAGTCAAAACTGGGCTGAGATTCATGTGATTTGGAATAGGTGCCTTATGTCTGTGTCTATGTGTATGTCTGTGTTTTTCTGTTTTATCATTTTTTTCTAAAGCCAGCATAAAAACAATACATACATACTATTATAAAAACCAAAATATTCAGAGTGAACATACATTTATTGTGAATGAAAAGCCTCCTCCCTCTTGCTCCTTTACCCTTGGGGGACATTCACTTATCATTTGTTGTGATTCTTTTTGTTGTTGTTGTTGTTGTTGTTGTGATTCTTTGGACTTTTCCTTATACTTACATAGATAAGGAAGTAATTAAAATTCTGGGTTTTTAAGATGTAATTCTAGGCTTATTTATCTATGACTTATTTTTGAAGTATTCCTTGTCAGTACATGTGACTCATTCTTTTTTGTTTTTAAACTTAAATACATTTTTTAAAGATTTATTTATTTGAGAGAGAGAGAGAGAGAGAGCACTGCGAGTTAGTGTGCCTTGGGGGAAGGGCAGAGGGAGAGGGAGAGAGAATCACAAGGAGACTATGCTGAGCACAGAGTCTACCACCAAGCTTGATCTCATGACCCTAAGATCATGGCCTGAGCCAAAACCAAGAGCCAGAGACTCAACCGACTGTACCACTCAGGTGCTCCTAAATTTGTATCAACTTCACTGAAAATATCAACTCCACTGAAATATAATTAACGTACAACAAAATGCTCCTATGTGACAAATGTGTACCTGTGTAATTGCCCTCACGATCAAAGTAAAGGAGTTTTCAATCCCTCCAGAAATGTTCACTTAAGACCCCTTACCAGCCAATACTCTCCATACTTAGCTCCTGACCTGATTCCTGTCACTATAAATTAGATTTGTCTTTTCAGGAGTTTGTTATTAACAAAATCATGCCGTATGTACTCTTTTTGTGCCTGGCTTCTTTCTCTTAATGTAACATGTTTGCAATTCATCCCTAGCGGTTGCCTATATCAGTAGTACATTCCTTTTTATTGCAAATTAGTGACCCATTGTATGGCTATGTCCCAACTTGTTTATCCACTCACCTATTGATGGGCAACTGGGTTGTCTCCACGGTGGTGCTACTATGCATAGTTCTATTACAAACACTAGTGGTCAAGTCTCTGAATGGACATGCTTTCACTTCTCTTGGAGAGAACAGATTCCTCAGAGAGCAAATGCTAGGGCTTATGGTAAGTGTATGTTTAACCTTATAGAAAATGCCAAACTATTTCCAAAGGTGGTTATATCAATTGATATTCCCACCGGCGGTGTACAAATGGGAGTTCCATATGCTCTATGGCCCGAAAGTTCCTGTTAACTTTCTGAGTTTCAGTATCCTTGTCCATAATAGGGAAATGGTTATGGCATCCTCTTCATCAGGATCTGGGGAAGGATCAAATAATATTGTGCTGAGCCCAGTACCTGGAAAATATTACAGCTCAATATCTACTTCTGTGGATTACAGATGTCACCATGACATGTGTGTCTTATACACTTGCTGCTAGCTCTTCAATTATTTTTATATTTTCTTCATTTTTTTTCACCATCAAACTTCTTGAAAAAGTTTTCAATACCTTCTGTCTTTTCCTGCTAATTCATCAACCCCTGGCCATATGACTGCTAACCCCACTGATGCTCTGAGAATTCTCTCAGTGTCCCCCAGAACTTCTTTGTGGATGATTCCTAAACCTGCAACTTGGTTTCAAAAAAGCTCTCCTGAGTCCCGGCCCTGATTCTAGTGTTGGCTGAACATGAGCCTGTTCATGGCCTGCAACATCCCTTCTCCATCTCTGTTCAACAAAGGCTTTTCCAGACTTCCACATGATCCTCAAGTGCCACCTTCTTATAAGTCTTCCTCCATCTCTTAATTCTCAGCTTTGCAGAGCACTTTAGATTTCTATTACTAGTATGGCAAAACAAGTATATAAATATTTAATGTATAAAATTTGAGCCATAGCTCAGACTGTAAAGAAAGAATACTGCAATTGAATCTCAAATATGTCGTTTTCTTTCATGGGACACAAGGCAAGTTATTTGACTTTGCTTTCCTCCTCTGAAAAGTGGGGGAAAACAGAACTCCTGCCTTATAGAATTGTTGTGAGGATTAAATGAGGTACTATGTATAGTCCTCAGAACCATGCCTGACCCATACTGAGTGCTCCATAAACGTTAATTTCTCATTGCAGTAGGGAGAGCACCCCAGATCCACAGACCAGAGTTTCTCAGCAGTGGTTTTGTCTCCACGTGTACAGGGAAGAACAGACAAGCCACAGGTGGGTCATTTCATACTGAGAATGGTTTTGTAATCAGGAGGAGTCTGTCATCAGCTGAACAAGAAATATCTATCTCTGCATCTACCTAATTTTGGAGGAGAAAGAGTTCAGTAATCATTTATAAAACAAAATGTAATTCGGAGGGCCTGTGTCTGGACTTGTCACAGGTAAACTAAGAGGTCATTCATGATTCTTGGGTGGGGGGGGGGGTTTCACAAGAACAAGTGAGCAGCTGGTCTTGTCTAAGTCATGGGGGAGGGCTGTTCTTTGCAATAAGCTGTTTCCCAGAACACAAAAGGGTAGGAGATTTTGGAGAACAAAAGTTTGGGGGATTAGCCTCCACTGTTTTCTGGAATCACCCTCAGGGCTCAGGTAAAGTTCAACATTGCCAGTGTCTCCTCTTCTTCAACACAATCATGAGATTGTGCTGGAACAAATATGTTTGGAAATGAGGCAATGAAGATGTCCAGATCTGCACCACTGTTAGTCCAGATTTGATCACCACATGTAAAGTTGTCAGCTCAGATTTGGCCACTGTGCACAAATTCAGCTGGAGGCAGAGCTGTTCTCAGGGCTGCTGGATCATGATATACGGATCGAATCATTTGTTAAGTCAATGGCTGCAGAGTAGCATTTCCAGACATATCTCCGAGACATTGTGCGTTTGCCAGGCAGCTGAAATAAAGCAAGTATCTCAATAAAGTGAATATTGCAATAGAGAGAGTCAAGTGAAATTTTCTTCTCCAGCGCATCTAAAGGTTATGTTTACACTATACTGTAGTCTTTTAAGTATGCAATAGCATTATGTCTAAAAAAGTCATATCTTAATTTTAAAAATACTTTATTGCTAAAAAATGTTAACCATCAACTCAGCTTTTAAAGAGTCATAATCACTGGCCACAGATCACCATAACAAATATAATAATAATGAAAAAGTTTGAGCTATTGTGAGAATGACCAAATGTGACACAGAGATACAAAGTAAGCAAATGTGTTGGGGAAATGGCACCAATAGGCTTGATTGATGAAAGGTTGCCACTGACCTTCAATTTGTAAAAAAAAAAAATTGCAATATCTGCAAACACAATAAAACAACCTGTGCAACTCTGGGCAGGATGCATGACCAACACTTGAGATGCCATTTACCTGTTCTGAGAGTCTTGTGAAAGCAGTCTCCTGTGTGGTGTCATCGGCTTCTGGGGACTTTGGTGGAACCCTGGTTTAAGGTCTCCCACTAGAAGGGATGTCCATTCAGAGTAAGGCTTATAAATGTTTTAATTGTGAAATATAAACCCAGGGTTGTACTCCATGTAGTTTTGCAGCAATATGGTGATTCCGAGAGCTGTGTAAGGTCCATCCCTCCTGGTCCAAGATTGGTGTTCAGTGGTATTTTTCTAGAAAACTAGGTCTCATATCTGAAGATTGGGTAAAAGTTGCCATGGAACTTCTGGGGGAAAAGCATATGTAGCCTGTTGGTAATAAGTATGAGAGTATTTAATAAGACCTTGGCAGTATTTAAAGACATCGGGTTTTATCAGATTAGTATCTTCTAAGGTCCAGGAGGAGGACAGGATCTTCATTGGGCTGATAATTATTTCAGAAGGAGATAATTAATGTTAACTGGAGGGGGAAGAGGAAAGAATCATCAGGGCTAAAGACAAGACTTTGGCCCAAAGGGAAGGATAACTTCCTCAGTGAGCTTCACAAATTCAAGTTTTAGAGCACCATCAACCTATTCTACTCTCCAGAGGATTGAAGATGATAATGACAGTGCAATTTTTGGAGAAAGGAAATACTCATTGAATGTTCCACATAACCTCAGCAATGAAATGAGTTCCTCTATCACTGGAGAGGACCAAAGGCATCCCCCAAGTGACAAAAATTATTTGTAGTAGAAGCTATAATGGTAGCAGTAGCCTTTTGAAAAGAAAAATACAAAAAAAAAAAAAAGAAAATCTCACTTCTAATTATCTTAAAAACATAAGGCTAAGGTTACAGCACATTCATACTCACAAAACTTTGGGAATTGGATACAACTCATTTGTCGATGAAGACAGGAACATAGGAAACTGGCTCTTATCCCTGTCCTACATTTACATTTTCACCAGGATTGTGTTTCTAACCCATGGGGCAATTTGACATTACCTGCTCAATATGAAGGCTACAGAAGCTACCTCACCAATATGGAGGAGGCCTTTAAGATTACCTTTGCCATGATGTGCAATGTTATGGAGGTTGTGGACTAAAGTTCAGGTAAGGGATAGAGATGAGACCAAGAGACCACCTGGGCATCTCCAAAGCTCATCTGAGTAGATCAAATATCCAACATGTTCCCAATTTGTTTTATCAGACTGAGGTATTAGCAGTCAATGCGCCCTAAGCTCCTTAAGTAGAGTTTCCAATTCTAAAGAAGGTTTGACCAATGGGAAGTATGCAGGTAATCAAGGAAGTTTTTCTTGGGAAGCAGTTGTTATAATAAATTTGTTACACAAGGAGTTTCCTTTCATTTTGAGGATGTGGCTACTATTGTGAACTTCAATTTTGAGAATATTTAGTTCTTGGGTAAAGCTTCCAATAGGCCAGTGATTTGGGTCCCAGTTTTGGTAGGTGACCCACTTTATTTCCATAACATAATGCAATCATGGCATTATGCACCAAAAGCACATTGGCTATAAGCATATAGGGTGAGGATCCCAAAGCATGTTCCAAAAGCACATTGGCTATAAGCATATAGGGTGAAGATCCCAAAGCATGTTCTTCTTTTTTGTTTATAGAAGGAGAAAAAGACAATGAGTCCAAAACAGGGAATCCAAAAGTGGAAGGAGAAGACAGAGAGGATGTGAAGCTTTGTTTTTTGTTTTTGTTTTTTTAATTTTTATTTATTTATGATAGTCACACAGAGAGAGAGAGAGGCAGAGACACAGGCAGAGGGAGAAGCAGGCTCCATGCACCAGGAGCCCGATGTGGGATTCGATCCCGGGTCTCCAGGATCGCGCCCTAGGCCAAAGGCAGGCGCCAAACCACTGCGCCACCCAGGGACCCCCGGATGTGAAGCTTTGAAATGCAGTTATGGAAGGAAAGTAACTAAAGGCTTTGGGAATGGTCTCCTTAGCCATGGAACATAAGGGAAAGACTATAGTGGAAAAATTAGGGGTCCAGTTTCTGCAACAGTCAACTAATTCTGGAAACCCTTGGAGTCACCTTTTGGTCTCAGGGAGGAGGAAACTGAAAGTAGTATGCCCTAAAATAATGCACTTGAGGACTGCATTATTGCATTCTGTTTTCAGAGAGCTTGCAGCCTTTTTGGCAAAAGCTTGGAATAAATAATGGGTGGTGATAAGTGAGTTGTTAAAATCTGGTGAGCAGAAAAAAAATGTCATCTACATACTGGATAAGGAAAGAACTGCACGGGAGGGTTAAATATCTCAGGTCTGTATTTAGGGCCTTAGCTGAGTAAGTAGGGACCTCAGTAACTCCTAAGACAGGATGGACCATGTGTATTGTTGACTTTTCTGTATGAAGTCAAAAGATATTATGTGTCAGGGTTGAAAAATATACCCGAAAAAGCAGAACATAAGCTGATAACTATGAAGCAAGTGGTGTTGGGTGGAGAGAGGCTAGAATGGCTGAGCTCTTTCAGAACAAAAAGAAATCTGAGTGATTATTTTGCTGATTGGCCTCAAGCCTTGGACTAGATGGTATCCCATTTGGCTTCTTTGAAGGGAAGATGGAGGTATTACAGGAACTGGATGTAGGAACTATGACTCCCTTGTTAAGGAAGTCTGGAATTATAGGCTGGAGACCTTAAAGGATTCTTGTTTTGGAAAGTATTATGGTAGAGGGTATTATGCTGAGAGTGGTACAGAAAGTTCTTTTCTACTCGGAGAAACTTCCAAGATTTGGTCTATGTCAGTGGAGTGAGCAGCCCAAAGAAAGTCAAGTACCTGAGTTGGTACCTGAGGGTTTAAATAGGGTTCAGGATTTTGACAGAAGAAAGAAAAATCTGATGGTCAATGAGTCATGAAAAGGAAAAGGTGTGAGCAGGGAGCTGGGGACCTCAACAGTGAGGTTGTCTCAGGAGCCCCGAATATTGATACTCCAGTTGGAAACCTTTAAAGAAGGTTTACTGAGTAGTGAAGCTAAGCAGAAAGCTGTGCTGGGTAGCGAGGGATCCCAGTGAGACAGGAAGAGGTTCAGAGAAAGGAAATCATGTGGACACTTAATCGAGTCCCTCGACAGTATGGCTTTTGTAAAGGGAGGGTGGTGGGAAATAAGAGGTGTTAATGGTAGGATGTGTTGTACTTGGACCCCTAGGAAGGGGGGTGGGGTGCCCATTCATAGGAATGACTGTCTCCCTTTGCATGTTAGTGTAGCCACAAGGGGACGGTCCCTCAGAGAAAGTCTTCAGGGAGATGGAATTTGGATTCTTGTTCCCTTTTACATTTTAAAGCCAGGCAATCCCCAGTCCAATATCCTTCTTATTGGCGTTATCTACAAATATCTATGGGGAGTTTTGGAGGAAGCAGACTGCCCTGACTTGCTTCTCCTAATTAAGTTGTAAGGGCTTCGGTTTGCACTGTGTCAATTTGACCTTCTCCGCAATGGTCTTTCCATGGTGTTGTGTGAGTGTACATTTTCAGAGAGAGGAGTATTTTGTTTATTTACAGTGCGCTTTTGGATACTATCTCTAATTTCTGGACGTAAGCCATTTACAAAATTAGTAACAAAGAGTGGTTAGTTGTCAAGAGCAAGAATGAAGTAGTTCTTCCCAGCATTTTCAAATCTATGTCTGTAGAGGTGGGTTCATCTCTTTGTCTTCTGCAGTCTTGGATCTTTGGCAGACTTTGAGAAAAGACAGTCGGAGTGGATTCTAGAGTTCCTCCCCAGTGGGTTTGGCCTATAAACCTGGAGGGTGTTCTGAATCTTTCTGAAAGTCCTCATGAAGACTATTTGGCTTTTACAAATCATATAATGGCATCTTTAGGACCACCAGCAGCTGCACAAGTTGTTATAAATCAGGAATCACACGTGAATATCTGCTGGGGACCAGTCTGAATTGATTGTAAACTCTTCCCTACTCTTGTTGTCTAGAAATTCTTTACCAGTAACATATAAATCTGAGTAAGTCCTTATTCAGTCTCGAGCTTTCCATCACAGGTAGGAAGCTGTTGTACAAGTTATGATGGGGAGTTGGGAAGAAGGGAAGACTAGTGGGGCAAGGAGGGATGATGGGGAGACTATAGGCCAAAGGAGGAAAAGGAAATCTGCAGACTAAAGGGCAATAGTGGGTGCAGGGAGGCACAAGAGTGGGGCATGTGGAGGGTGCTGGGTGAGGAAAGCGTTGTGAGGTTTTATGAGGAAAAAGGAGGAGCAGAGAGCTGCTCATGAGATAGACATTGAGAGAGACATTCTTAAGAACAGTATGAGATAGACTGGAGACATTGTCTCATTTGTCAGCCTCTTTGTAAAGCAAAATGAGCTGACCATGGTGGAGGAGAGAACATGAAGCCTGAGGTTTGAGGATGCCTCTTAGACGGACAAGTTTTGGGGAGAGTGTAGGGGCCCCAAAGGGACCATTGCAGTTCTAAGTTGTTCTCAGTAAAACCCTGCCACTTTTTGAGATAGGAACGGGATTGTTGCCATAGTGGTAAGGCATATAATCAGAGGGGATTTTCAGAAAGGGCTGAGAAGTAGATTCAGAGTTTCCATACTACTTCTGTTGAACAGAAGCCAGCAAATGGACAAAACCAAAAGAGTACTCCAACTGAGAATCAAACTTAAGTCTTTACCATGCTACCACAGATGAATGCCTGGAGCAGAGGACCAGAAGCTGGGATCGTGTGGGATCCCTGGAAGGCTAGGTGAGAGAGGAACATGACAGGCTGGAGGGACTTCAGCAACTGGGTGGAGAAGCTCAGGTCCAGATGGGCTTCCAGCCCCATCCAGTCACAGTACCAGATTGTCAAAGACAAAACACAAGCAGGTGAGGGCACTGATTTTATTCAGGCTGTTTCAGTAGGGAAATCACCCCAGATCCAAAGACCAGAGTGTCTCACCAGTGGTTTTGTCTAGACATTCTAGGGAGGAGTAGATAAGCCACAGGTGGGTCATTTTACAGTGGGGTGATTTTGTAATCAGAGTCTGTCAGCTGAACGATATGTCTACCTCTGTGTCTAGCAGGTTGTGGGGGACAAACAAGTCAGCTAATCAGTTATGAAATGAAGACAGGAATTTGGAGGGTCTGAGTCTGGCTTTGTCACAGGCAAACAAGGGAGTCATCCATGAGTCTTGTGGGGTCACAGGAAAGATTGGACAGTGGGTGTCTTAGTCTGCTAGGGCTGCCATGACAGATATCGCAGGCTAGGGGTCTCAAATGACAGAAATTAATGATCTCACAGTTCTGGAGGCTGAAAGTCTGAGATCAAGGTGTTGCCAGAGTTAGTTCCTTCTGAGGCCTCTCTCCTTGGCATGTAGATGACTACCTTCTCCCATTCCTCTCCTGATTGCCACTCTGTTTATGTCTGTGTCCTGGCCTGTTCTTATAAGGACACCAGTCGTAGTAGATTAGGCCCCCATTCATATGACCTCATTTTAAATTAATCACCTCTTTGGGATGCCTGGGTGGCTCAGTGATTGAGCATCTGCCTTCAGTTCAAGGTGTGATCTCAGGGTCCCGGGATCAAGTCCCACATCAGTCTTCTTACAGGGAACCTGCTTCTCTTCCCTCTGCCTGTGTCTCTGCCTCTCTCTGTGTGTCTCTCATGGATAAATAAATAAAATCTTTAAAAAAAATTACTCACCTTTTTAAAACCCTATCTCCAAATGCAGTCACTCTCTAAGGGACTGAAGATTAGGAACTCAAGACTTCAACAAGAATTTCAAGGGGATACATTCAATTCACAACAGTGGATCTTAACTAAGCCATGTGGGGGAGAATGGTTCTCTGTAGTAGATCGTTTCCCAGAACACAGAAGGGTGGGAGATGTCAGTCACAAAGTTTGGGGAGGTTAAGCTTCTCTGTTCTTCAAGGAGTGCAAGACTCAGGTGACATTCAACTCTATCAGGAAGGAGCCCCTTCCTTTGCTCTGCCCCCCTAAAGCATCCACGGGCTGGCAGAGGAAGTGGGTGTAGAAATGGAGAGAGGCAGCCAACAGAATTCAGAGAAGGGAAACTGCATCAGTGGGGCTGGCAGTGGGGGACAATGTGATACAAGGTTGACAAAGGCGGGAAATGAGACAGCCAGGAGCAGAGCAGCGGGAGGGCTGACTCTAAGAGAGAAGATTTTCAGTCATCATCATGAGATGTGGAACCTGGGAGGGCAAGGGGATTTTTTTCCCCATAAGTCTTCACTGTGATGTTCTATGTAATACCCAATCCTTCACTGCTTCAGAACCACCTCAAGAATTTTTTAGTAAATGTATTTATTACTCTTCAACAGCAATAGAGCCCGATCTGTGTTCCTTTGTGTTTATCCCCTGCTGAGAAAGGTCTAGAAGGGGAAGATAGCAGGAAGGCTCTTCTCATTGTGTGTGTGGGTGGGGATCTCTCACCTACTGGCTATGTGGGCAGGTGTCTCATCTCCTTTCTAGACTGCGAACATTTTAAACGCAAGGACATTTGCTTCATCCTTTTGTAAAAGCAGAGGTGATCGTTAGTTCCGTTTGAAAATTCTAGAAATTGGTCACTTATGAGTCAATCTAAACCTTTTTTCTGCACTTAATTATGATTTCAATCTGTACCACCCTTTGGGGGCATGGACGTTCTAATTTGTCCATTCTCCACAGTGTCCTAAGCAGATTGAACTCTTCTGGATTTCTGACCAGTGGCACTGGGAAAGAGAAAGGCGAAGGCTTGCTTTCCCCTCTTCTGGAGATGGGGAAGTAATGGGGAGGGGAGAGGCGAGAAGGAGAGGCACTCTCTGGTGCATCTCAGGCCCTGGCTGGAGCAGGGAAGGGCGTCACCCTAGGAGATCAGCAGGATGAGGCTCCAGATCCTCGGCCCAACCTCCTTAGCATAGGCCTTCCCAAAGCAATGCTCTTGGATGATCTGAATGTAGCCCCATGTTTAGAAGTCTGTTCAGAAATAAGATGAGTACCAAGAAGAGAGACCTGGGGGGTGACTAAGCCATCTTCCCACACTGGCCTCCTCCCTCAGACGCCCACTGGTGATTAGCCCTCTGGGTACCCCACTTCCTGCTGCCTCCCCACACTCTAGGGGCCAATGGACATGACAGCAAAGTAGAGGCCTGGAAACCACAAGAGAGAAAGGCCAGACCCAGCATCTGAGTGTGTTTTCTTTTCGGGAGATGCTGCAAAAGTGAGCGGTAATGACTTGCAGTAACCTCTGCCAGCCCCAGGATTCAACAAACGCCCTTCCAAAGGGGGGCTGCTGGCGGCTGCGGCCTGAGGCAGAGCTGCTGGACTGCACAGAGCAGTTTTTATAGCTCTGTTTGGCCTGACAGTTCTCCAACATAGACAAGCTAGGGGACGGATGGTTTTAAGATCCATTTGTGTACCATTAAATCAAACTGCCTGTCTTTCTAAGGGTTTCTGAATTTCCAAACTTTTAAAGCCATAATAGAAAAAAAATCCCAGAAAAATAAATGCAGTTAGAACATAAGGTTTTTCTTGTGCCAATGTCCTCATATCCTCCCCCTGAAAATGACTCCCCTGGGTACTCACCCTCCACCAAAACATCGTGTTGTCTTATAAAATAAAAATGCAGCCAGCAGAGCAAGCAGATGGAGCAGAAAAAGTGAAATGCGGCATTTCTTTGACACTGGCCACTCCACGGCCACGGGAGGAAATACCATGTCCCACTGAGAACCTAGGTCAACGGTGCTCCGAAATCACTCCAACGAAAGCACCTATGGCACTCGCTCCTGTCCAAAACTGTTTTCATTCAGAGTCAGCTAACGTGATGTGCTGGGTCAGCAAATATGACCGTGAAACCAGGACCTGGTTGCAAAACACGCTTTCTCCTGTTCGTTTCAGTGTTTGCAGCGTGGCGTTTACACCGGCCCTGGCATCGCTCTGCAGCGCAGAACCATGCTCCGTAAAGCGTGCAACACGGTCCAGCTGCAGAAGTCGCCTGCATGGGGAGGTGGTTTGCAGGCAGCTACCCAGCATCAGGGAAGCATCCTGTCTGCCACTTCCTGCCCCAGCCCAGCTGCCCCAGAGATGCCGAGGCATCTCTGAACAGCCACCCCCACCATAGGCAGGGCCCGAGCTCCAACTGATGAGAGCCAAGAGCCGGGGACACGGTCAAGACGGTCAAGACGCGGCCCAGTTCCTGAGAGTGGTGGGGTGAAATCCACCGCGCTTGCAACAGATCCCTGGATTCTGGGCTTCATCTCATTTAAGAAAGACATCGTGTATATTGTTCAAAGTAAATAAAATAATGAGATGAGAAAGAGGAAGAGTCATGGTTTAATTCTCTGAAGAGAGCGGCTCTCTGTGTCTGGAAAGGGCTTAGTTTGTACTTGCTCAGCAGACAGAAGAGTCCCTTCTCTGCGGATGGCCCAGCCACGTGAACCCGCTGGCAGCTGCACAGAACCAGAAGCCGGGCGGCGGCGGCGCCCTTGAAACCAGCCCACTCTGTGTGACCGGGGATTTGTCCCCGCAGACTGATCCATATCCAAGAAAAACCTCTCCCCCTGGTCCAAGACAAGCCTCTCGTTCTCAGCACGAGGCGTCACATTTTCCACGCACGTCCCAGAGCTGGACCTGTTGTCCTAAGGACCCCGCACCCAGCACACCCAGTGGAGTTAGAGACCTCTCCATCTCCTGCTGATGGCACGAGGGAAAAACGGACCATGGAGGGAGAAAGGCCAGGACACAACCTTGGGTTAGAAGGCCGGGGATTCCCCTGTGCTATTCAGCCCCTTGACGTCTACGCATCTGGGGGTCAACCCGCGATGAAACAGCCCGGGCTGGGAGGGAGCCACATGTGACCACCACACGCGTCTCTGGCGATCTCATTTTCAAACCACTGCGAGCTCCTTTCTAACCACGAAATGGCTGGAGCCAGTCTGGATGCTGTTTATTCATCCTCCACTAAGGTGATGAGCAGCAAAAGGCAGAAAGGTGGGCAAAACCCAATAAAGGTCTTGGAAGAAGACGTGAACCACTGGAACAGACGGCTGCCTAGGGCCTGTCAAGCAGCAGTCTATCCGCAGGCCCCAAGACGCTGTGCTGTAGGCTCAGGGGCTCCCGGGGGCTAGAATCCGGCAGTAAGGGGCCTTCTCCCCGCCGAGTGTGCACAGGCTCCAGGAGGGCCCAGATGTCCCGGTGCAGGAAGTGTGGTCTGAATGTCTCCAGGAGCGTAGGGCATTGGGAAAGGGCACTACTTACAGACCCCTTGGCCAGGCCCAGGGGCCTCTCCCGTCCCACGTCACTTCCCAATGTGGAATTGGGCCATCCACAAACAAACGTGGGAGCGCAGGGCATGGCTGGGCACACACAGAATGCCAGGAGCCGCAACGCTGGCCAAGGGCCGCGAGAGAACCACCATAAAAGGTTAACACTTACTTAACAGGTTACTTAACATTGACAAACAGGGAGAAAGGTTAGTTTAGATCCAAAGCTGTTCTCTGCAGCTCATTCACTCCCTCACCCATTCTCCTATGGGTTTCTACAAGTTTCATACCTGTGCACCTGCACACGGCTAGGGCCCCCGAAGGGACAAAGGGAAACACGCCCAGTTGTTTCCCTTCCAGGCCGTAGCTTCCAGTCACTGAAGAGTACTTTGTGTTGCCTGATGAGACTAAACGTTCACATGGACGTTCAGAACACGGTCCTCTTGCAGAGAAGTAAGAAACCCGGTCTTATTGGAAGATGCTCCCCTCTGACACCCATGCTTCGAGGGCCTCATCCAGAGCTGGCCCCAAGGCAGCTGTGGAATTCTTGCCAAGCTCAGTGTTTCCTTTGTCTCTTCTAGTCTTCAGGTTCTGACAAGTGTATACATTTTCCCCAAATTTTCATGGAAAACTTTGTGCTGTGGAACTTGGTGAGGGGTTTGGTTTCTTGCCTGTAGCTTGTGACCTGCCACTTTGTATTCATCTCCTGAGATGCGCCGGGAAAAGGGTTTGGGACACCTACTGCCATCCCATGTCTAGAGGAGGCCACGGGGGATGTAGGGGAATGCCCCAGGGGCTGAACTCGAGAGACCTGAGTGTCAGCACCTGTCCCGCCACCCCCTGGCTCTTCGTGCCTCATTTTCACTGCTGTGGGAAAAAAGCCGGGAGTGGGGTTGGTTCAGACTAGGGTTTCTTGGCCTTGGCACTATTGATTGATGTCTTGGGACAGATCATTCTTGGCTGTGGGTACTGTCCTGCACATTGTAGGGTGTCTGGCAACATCTTTGGTCTCTACCCAGTAGGTACCAGTAGCACTCCCTCCAGCCGCAACAATCAAACGTATCCGCAGTCATCGATAAGTGGCCCCTGAGAAGGAGGATTATCCCCAGTTGAGAACTGCTGGTATAGACCAACTCTGTCTAGGTCAGAAGCCGAACGTGATCACTGAGCATGTGAAATGTGGCTAGTTCAACCTGAGATGCGTTCTAAGTATAAAACGCATAGAATGGGATACAAACCTTCTAATGAAGAACAACAGCAACAACAAAAAAAAAAAGTAAAATATCCCATGAACATTTTTATATTAATATATTTTTATATTTTTTATTGAGTCCATGTTGCAATGGGAATATTTTTAATACACTGAGTTACATAAGATAAAAATCATAAGCATGAATTTTACCTTTTTTTTTTTTTTTTTTTACTTTTTATACAGTGGCTACTAAAAAAAAACGGAAAATAATGGCTCGATCTGTGGGTCCTTGGATTTCCGTTGTTGAACACAAGCCTAGATGCTGCTGGCTAATCAGTAGCCCGAGTTCCCTGCAGATGACTTACTACTGCAGGAGCAAAGCAATCGTTTTCCAGCACTATCTGCTGTCATGATGGACCAGACAGTTGAGGCATGACAGAGGATGGACACAGAAGCCCGTCAGCAAATCTCTGATGCTTGGCCTGAGATGCATTTGAGTCTCTCTCTCTCTTCCTTGATAAACTTGGCAAAATCTGCAACGTCAGCATTTAGAGGCAACGCCCTGCTTCATCCCACAAAGGAAGCAGCCCCAACTGTCAACATCCTGCTCTGGTCTGCTGATGGATGCAACAGACCCTGAACACCCACGCAGAAGCCCAGGGAAGCCTGCCTCCCCATGGTGATTTTCCACTTCCACCAACCCATAGAGCAGCCTGGGACCAGGAGAGCTGGATCCTAAAGGAACTGGTAGAGAGCTTAATAATTCTGTAAGTCACCTCTCTTAGTTCCCACAATACTTAAGTTAGCTAGAGTTTAAGATGTTTCCATTTTATGCATACCTGGCCAATAGGAATTTCTCTCCAGAAATGAAAAGTCGTAAGAAAAGTTAATTTCTTCGTTTCTATCATATCAAACAAATCCAACCTTAGCTTTTTCTGACTATCCCTTCTCATCCCCGTTCCTGCAGTGGTTCAAAAGGCAGAGAAGGGAGATGCTGGGTGGCTCAGGGGTTGAGCGTCTGCCTTTGGCTCAGGTCTTGATCCCGGAATCCCGGGATCGAATCCTAAATCAGGCTCCCTGTGGGAAGCCTGCTTCTCCCCCTGCCTGTGTCTCTGCCTCTCTCTGTGTCTCTCAAGGATAAATAAAATCTTTTTTTTAAAAGGAGGGGGGGCAGAGAAGTTTCCAGGGTCACAAGCAAAGGAGAACATTCAAGGTGGGGCCCCTTTAGTTTTCTGTCCCTATCATGACCCCACTGGCTGCCTTGGAGAGGCCTGCATGCTGTCTGTAGGGAGCCAAGCAGCCATTCCCTTCCCAGTTCTGGCCACCTTCCTGGGAGCTAGACTGGGACAGCTCAGGACTCAAATTCTTGGGGTTCCTTCTAGAATCCCCAACCCATCAATTCTTTCCTAGCCACTGGAAACCACTCTCTCTGCTCTGCAGCATTCTCCTCTCCCTGAAAAACAAACCAAAGAATGCCAGCCTCCATTCCCTCCACTGCCTGCCCCATGCCCTGCACACACACCCCATCTTCTGGGCTCAAGCTAGCATTATCTGCTACGTGACTCCAAGCTTTCAAAATAAAACCCCAGAGGGGTGGGTTTGGATTCAGAAATACCCTACTTTCAGTACTATACCACAAAACTCCCAGCAGGATCAGGACCTCAAAGATCTGACCCTCTGGGAATGGAGGCCTTAAGAAAAAGACAACAGACACAGTGCAATTAAAATCTATAAATTATGTCATTCCACAAGTGGAGAAAGCAAGGTTTGGCGAGGTCAAGGGACTTGCTCCATATCACATTTCTGGTAGGTGTCAGAGGAGGGACTCAAACCCAGGACCCCTGACTCCACCTAAATATATCATATACCATCCTCCCTCCTCCATGCTTTATCCCCAACATCCCAGGAAGCATGGAAGGAGATCTGCTAGCTCTTTGTAATCGTATGTTGATGACCCTCTAGAAGAGCAGCTGGACCTCCAGGTCCCCATCTCTATTCCTAGAAGCACTGTCCTCTAAGGACATTCTTACAATTATGTGGTTACCACACTCCAGCTGACCAAATTAGCACACACACTTCCCTTACTCCCCTTATCATAGCTGGAATTCTCTGGAACACTTAAACCAGACTTTGTTAAGTGCTGATGGGGCGCCCAGCTGGCTCAGTCAGTGGAGCATGCAGCTCTTGATCTCGGGGTCGTGAGTTCAAGCCCCATGTTGGGTATAAAGTTTATTTAAAATAAATAAATAAATAAATAAATAAATAAATAAATAAATAAATGCAGACTTAACAAAAAAGGTTGAGGTTAACACATAACTAATTAGATCATCTGATGTACAAGATTCTTCTCCCAGCTCTCTACAGAAATGATTTAAAAAAAAAAAAAAAGGAAAGTATTCCATGAAACCCTTAGGATCTTCACGAGTTCTACAAACATGTGATTCCAACTGCAGTTTGTTTGTTTGTTTGTTTGTTTGTTTGTTTGTTTTAATTGGGTCATTGTGGATGGAAAGGTTC